ACGGCCGGGCCCCGGTCGGCGGCGGGGCCGGGGAGGGGCGGCCGGGGCCGGACTCACCGCATGAATTTTCTTGTCCCGCGGATCCAAGATGGCTGAGTATCCAGCACGGAGGATGCTGGGGGAGCAACCTTTACCCTCTGACCCGGCCGCCGCCGTGACCCCGCCGCCGCTCGGCCCGGCCGCCAGCGCCGAGGGGCGGGGGCAGCGCCGCCGCACCGCCCGGAACGGCCCGGCCCTCCGGAGAGGCTGAGGGGGACGGGGAGGAGAGGGAGGAGGAAGGAAGAAGGAGCAGCTCCCTCGGCTGCGCTCCCTCCGCCTCCCGCGGGAGACGCGGCCCTGCGCTGGGGGCCGGGCCCACAGGCCGTGGGTCCCGCCGCGCTCCGCGGCACCGCTGAGGCGCTGCCGGCTGGGGACGCGCCCGGCCCGGGTCCCGTTTCGTGAGGGGAGAGGGTGGCGCACAGTGGGGCGTAGGGTGAGCGGGGTCCGGGCGGAGCAGGGCTCCCCGGTCTTCTCCTCGCCCCTGCGGCCCCGCGGGTGCCGGGGGCCTGTGCAGACCTACCCCGGGGGGACGCGCTCTCTTGGGAAGCGCCCCAGCTTCCAGAGGGGGTGTGCCATCCCCCGTGGCCCTGGCCTGTCCAGTGCCCGTGGGTTACAGAGCGCAGAAGGAAAGGCCTGGCTTCGCCGCAGGCTGTGTGTTATCCTGCGGGGGATCTAGGTCAGGAACGACATCCTGAAGGGGTATATTGTGTGAAAATTCCTATTTTCTCTGCAGTTTGATAGCAGTGGGGAGGAAGGCCCTACTATCCACTTTGTGTGTTAGTAAAGTGGAAAAGCATTACCAAGATGATGCAACTGGGCATTTGTTTTCAATTTTTCGACCCTCAAAACATGAATGTTATAGCAATGGCTCAAGTATAGCAAGTACAAGTGATGCACAAAACACTCATAATGCAAATAATCCTCTTGAATTCAATGAGACTGTCCATGGTACAAAAGCTAAGCCTTGCACAAGTGTTTACAGGATCAAGGCCAACATTATTGGTGAGCTGGCTGCTCTGCTCCATCAAGAAAAACAATGGCACTCTACCTTAATTTTATTGTGAAATCATCATAAAGTTTAAAAATTCAAACAAAAAGATGAGCATATGATACTTAGCCAGAAATAGCAGGTTTCTGTCAATAGTTTCACGTCTGCTTTCTTCTCAGGTTTGCTTTTGACCCTTCAAACTGCTTTTAGAATTACTGAATTAAGAATTCAGTAGGTTGCACAACACTATTATAGAAACATTAGTATTACAGTAACACGTCTGTCAACATACACATGTTTTGAAGATGAAAGAACAGTCTTTAACCAAAGACAGGAGGACAGTTTCTTAATGGCGCCACCTTTTTATGCAGCTCAATTGTATGATGAGCATGGGTGCCATGTCATTGAAATGAATGTCTATACACATCATCCAGGAAAAGACTGCGTTTTACTATTCTAATAAGTAAACCTTTCTTTTGTGACTCAAATATGTATATATTTGCTATAAACAAACCATTTTAAAGCACCAAAAGTGACGTGCTGTTTTAAGTAGAGTGTGAACTTCTGGACTACTTTTGTTGTTCAATCTGAAAAATCAAACAATTCTTCACACCACATGACAAATATAAAAGCTGAAAACAATAATCAGTGTAATTTTAGACTGAAAACAATAAACAATGTTATTCATCATCAATGTTGCTAAATAACCGTTTGGATAGTCAGACTCTTTTATACCCCTTTATAAACATTTTGCTTCATTATGTTTTATTTTACACTTTAGTGTTCTGAGTTTCTTTTTCAAAAGCTAATTCTTTTTCCAGTGTCCCAAAGAGAAGTCATTTAAGATGGTACTCAACAGTATGTTGCAAGTGAACTAAGCACCTGACATTGTCATTGCATCTACATGAACTGATCTCTCTGGCCATTACAAAATTACAGTTTACATGCAAATCAATTAACATTTATAAGACTAGAAGCCTGTATAGTTCAACAGAGCTAGGTAATGGGAAAAAAGTACCATTTATTATTTAAGACTGGTTAGCTTGGTACAACTACCTAACTAGCACCCACAACGTGTGTAAATTGTGATTTAAATTCTCTTAATTAAAAAAATCTAACCTGCCCTTCCTAAAGATGTGTTTAGTTGAGGAACCTCATTACTCAGGCTGTAGTGTCTGTGTATTCGACTTCCTCATTTGTTTTCTTGAAGAAAGTGAAAGCAGTTAGTGTTCTAATGCTTTAAAAAAAAACCCTGAAGCCACTAAAGAGGGTGTGTTGTCAAGTATGTGTTCACACATTTGCTACTTTTAGTCTCGATTCAATAAATTTTTCTACAATGGTGAGGCCTGTTTCCCATAGTTGCACCTGCTTAAATAAAGAGGTGCTCTGAGCCCATTTAATGCAGGGATTGCTAATCATGTGTGGACACTCCTAATCCATTTTGAGCCATATATAGTACTGTTTTACGTCCTACAAGTCTTTGTCGAAAAACATATGCATTTGTTATTTTTAATCTCATTTAATCAATGGTGCCTTTTTTTTCCTTTGACTTACTTCACAGACTGATACACATCCATCTTGAACCAGTGTAAGAAGGTCTGTTGGAGTGAATCTGCAAACTTTTGTCTATGGCAGCACAGGTGAATGCACTATAAAACATGACTACAGAAAACCTGTTCTGCATGTGACTGTGTGTGCAGTCAACAGTTCAAGTGGTGCTGTTAAAGTCACTTGACACAACCTTTTACCTAATGTTCCTGAGAGCTGGGGCCTTAACATGCATGTTCTGAAGTCATGATACATGTCTAGGAGCCATTTGGACTTCAGCTGACTATTGCTTCAGCTAATGCCCACAGAGGGCTAAACGCCTACAGCATCTGGGTGGAACATTTGGGAAGAGGTCATCAAGAGAGTCAGGTGTGCTTAGAATACCCAAATGCTTTATGGATCTCAGTGTTCACTGGAAATTCTCTGCAGTTTTTCTGGACCTTTGCTCCAGAGAGTCTGTGGGTGCTCAATGACTCCAGGTGTCTCCAAAAGATGTGGACAATGCAGCCACAGAAGAGGGAGGAAGGTGAATTGCCCAGAGTATGTGCAGGGCAGAGTTAGGCTGTTCCACTTCACCAAAACATGAAATTAAATTAATCATAGTAAGATCACAATTCTCAATTATGAGTAGAGGCAAAACATGATAAGTAACCTTGTAAGCCATTTTTAAATAGAAAAAAAAATTCATTGGAACGCAGCAAGAGTCTTTCCTTCTCCCACCTACATATTGTCCCGCTATTCTTCAGGAAAAACAAACACAGTCAAAGCAATCACCTAGAGCAAGGGTTGGCAGCTTTTCAGCAGTAGTGAAACAGGCTGTATTTTCCTTTCTCAGATTAGAGTTTAAATTCCTTGGAAGAAATAGCTTGAACCAGAAGATACTGCCCATCGATTGCAAGATGCACTTGATTAGATAAAACAGTAAAATACCTCTTCTGCAAGAGGCAGAAGTTTCTGATTTCTGCTGAACTCACAACTGTGTGACACTCATGAATATGGAGCTGCAGCTTTTCCCTGATATCCTTGTTGCTGCATGATGTTCAGAAGTCTCTCAATTGCTCTCTTTGGAAAGTTGTAGGGTTACAGCACTGCTGGGCATTCATCTTTGCTCTAGAAGAACATAGTGGATTTTTTTTTCATTAGTATAGCCTTTTTGATTTTTTAAAATATTTCTAAAACACAAGGATAAAGGTGTGTCAAAGTGTACACCAAACCTAATATTAAAGATCTCACCACAAAGAGGTGTTAAAGCATTTTTTTTAAAGAATAAAAACACTAAGACCTCACATTTTCTTACTGTATTTTCTCATAGTTCTTAATTATTGCATCACTTAAATTGAGCATAAAATGTTTAAATTTATGTGGATTTGGTTAGTTAGTTTGACTTTTGCAAGTTAGTTTCCAATTGGTAGTGTATTTAGGAAAGGTGAGGAAAGGATCAGCTGTTTCCATGGCACTGTCCTTATCTATCCTTTCACTCCTACAGGGGATTTCCAGGGATGGCTGCTGGCAAGGGAAGCCCTAGAAGTGCAGCTCAATTACTGTTTTAGTGTTAAAATGCATCACAAGGTATCCACACAGATGGCTTCTCATCTGCTGGATTTGTAGTTTCCAGGAGGGAATATTGGGAGCAGAAGTATCTTTATCTCAGCCTTTCATATTTTTACTATCAGGAAACCCTTTCTCAGCCTTCTGCTCTAGTGCCTTCAGTGTCTGATTTAGTGCTAATTATAACAGAGTATCGGGGGGAAAAAAATACCAAGTTTAAAAAGAAGTCTGCCAATTCTAGAAAATAATATGACCCTGAAGAGGAGATAAAATGTAAAATTTTCCAAAAATAAGATGCTTCACATTGCTGAATAGGAACTAAGAGGTTTGCCAGAGTGCTAGTAAATGAGAGGATAAATCAAGAGTTAGAGATAGCAGCAGTTCCAAGTATTTCTTCAGACAAAGAGAAGAATAATGCTGCAGATGGAAATACATTTTCCAGAGGAGAGAAGTATTAGAGAGGCACAAGTCAGTGCCAGAATAGGTGCTGACTGACATTCCCAAGCAACATTATCCCCAGAGAGATGGAATTTATGGCAGTGGGGAAAGAGAAACCCTTCCTCCCTCAGTTCTTGAGACTTTAGTCGGTGTCATGCTTGCTGATGGTGTTGGAGAGCTGCCTGGTCAGAAGTGCTATTTCTCATTTGAAACTATGGAATCATGGAATCCTAGAATTGTTTAGGATGGAAAAGACCTTTAAGATCATAAAGTTAACCCAGCACTGCCATGTTCACAGCTAAACCATGTCCCCAAGTGCCCCATCCACACATTCTTTGAATGCTTCCATGGATGATAATGCCATCACTTCCCTGGGTAGTCTGTTACAAAGTCTGACCACTCTTTCAGTGAAAAAAATCTTCCTAATATCCAGTCTAAACCTCCTCTGGTGCAACTTGAGATCATCTCTCGTCCTATCGCTTGTTACCTGGGAGAAGAGACCAATCCCCTCCTGGCTACAGCCTCCTTTCCTGTAGCTATAGAGAGTGGTAAGGTCTCCCCTAAGCCTCTTTTTTTCGAGGCTAAACAATCCCAGCTCCCTCAGCTGCTCCTTATCAAACTTGTGCTCCAGACCCTTCACCAGCTTTATTGCCCTTCTCTGGACACACTTCAGCACCTGAATGTCTTTCTTATAGTGAGAGGCCCAAAACTGAACACAGGATCGGAAGTGCAGCCTCACCAGTGCTGAGTACAGGGGGACAATCACTACCCTGGTCCTGCTGGCCACACACTTTCTGATACAGGCCACCTGGGCACATTGCTGGCTCATGTTGAGACTCTGTCAACCAGGACCTTTTTTTGCCAGGCAGCTTTCCAGCCACTCTGTCCCCAGCCTGGAGCTCTGCATGGGATTGTTTTGACCAAATACAGGACCTGGCACTTGGCTTTGTTGAATCTCATACTACTGGCCTCAGCCCATCGATCCAGCCTGTCCAGATCCTTCTGCAGAGCCTTCCTGCCCTCCAGCAGAGCAACACTCCCGCCTAACATAGTGTCATCTGTGAATTTACTAAGGGTGCACTCAATTTCCTTATGCTGACCATCAATAAAGACATTAAACAAAACTGGCCCAAATACTGAGTCCTGGGGAACATCACTTGTGATCACATCAAAAGACAGTCAATGTTTTATTCCAGGTGTTGGGGTGTCCTTGGCATGACTTTTCCACGTGACTAACTGATGTAGTTACAATGAATATGAGCTACATTCTCTCCATTAAGCTGCAGTCTCTGTTGATAAAAACATAGACTTAAGCAGTTAAAATGGTCATAATTAAAAGTTAGCCTGGGAATAAAGAGTTATTACAACAGCTTTGTAAAAAATGATCAGAAAACATATAACCAGGACCCTGAGGAAAACAATTACAGTAAAGGATGATTCGTTTCCTTTATGACAGGTCTCAGGTGGGGAAGGGAACAGCCTCGGGGGCTGGAGAGTGCTGAATTCTAGTTCTTGCTTTTTGACAGCTTTTCAAGATTGACAGCCAGGCCTATCTCCAAAAATGTGCTCTCCCCTGAATAAGTGTTAATGAGCCCAACAAAGGAACCCTGGCTACATCAGATGGTACAGTCTGCTATCCCACCAAAAGCGAGAGGACTCCAGTATCACTGTCCCACTGGGCAGCATGCTGGGAGCATAGCCTCAGCCCCGTTCAAGCAAGTTGCCAACATGAAGCTACAGAAGACTCACAAGAGCACTGCTGCCTGGGCAGCCCAAGTCAGCCAACTCATTCCCTTATTAGAATATTGGCAGTGCCTGGAAAAGGTTTCCTGAGCTTGCCAGTGGTGCTCCTAGCTACCCATGTCTCATGCTGGCCCCGAAGCCTGGAGATAGTTTCACATGTGGACAGACCCTGGAGTACTTGTTATCTGTGGAAGTGTTTGTCTGGGCTTTGTGCTTGCTTGAGAGGAGAGTCAACTGTTAAGCTACTTTGAAAGCTTTGCTGGGATCCTGATCATCACATTGGAAGACTCTGAACATTGACATAGAGTCTGGTGTATCTGACTGTTCATCCAGTGAAGGCTGAAACACAGATTTGTAAGCCCCGAGCTGTTGCTTACCTCCTTAGCCAATTCAAGCAGCAACTTTGCTAGTCCAATGAGAGAAGAAACCTCCTGCATCAAAGCTGATCTGTCTGCAGCCAGTACACTGAACTGAATTGCTTTCTATTGTGGCTTGCATAAAGCCAACCCCCAGAATTTCTGGGAAACTCCGTAACCATTACCATCACAGGACTGCGACTGAGCCTTTCCAGCTGAGAAACAACACCACTGTATCACAGATTATAGTGCTCTGTAGTGGAGCAACAGAAGCTACTTTTGAGCTCTTATTCAGCTTCGTTACACAGCTCAGCAAGAGATATAACTATGTGCACATGCCAGCTCGGGACCCTCCAGACATGTCCTTGGTCTCGGTTTTGCTGCAGCTGATAGGATGCTGGTTTGTTACAAAATTTCCCCAAACACCTTGAATACCACCTTGCTTCCCTACTCCTGTCCCATTCAGGACCATAAATTCAGCCTTCTGTTTACCATGAAGCCAAGCTATTTGTGAAATCTCATGATACAGAATTCAGCTGTAGATATTGCCTGCTCAAATATTTGAACCTCTCACACCTCTTCCCACTCCAATACTGCTCATCATTTTCAGGACTCTTAATGGAAGAACTGCTCACATCTGAGAGCAATGGAGCTATTCTGCATGCGGAGATCAACTGACCAAAGCAGTTTGCTGCTTCTTCAGTCAGACGTGTCTCAGTAGAAGTAAACAGGATTTTAAATTCAGTGGCCTGCCATGCTCCCATGAGCTCCAGCAGAGCCCAAAGTTCCTATTGCAGCCTTGCTCCTTGTCTAGCTCTCCTTCTTGCTTGAGCTGGCACTGAAGAAAGTGGCAGCATCTACAGAGAAGAAAAGTAAGAAATTTTTTTTCACTTTCTCCCTCTCTCTCCCCCTCTCTCTCTCTCTTTCTCTTTCTCTCAATTTATCTCTTTCTCTCATCTTGCTCTCTTTTTGAGAACACACACAGAGTGATATAAATATGCTTGCAATAAGCAGCAAGTTCTTCTAGTACAAGAGACTAATCCTATTCCTGCTGTGGCTCCTGTGCAAACAAACTGCTGTGCTTTTTGGGGAGCCCTACAGATGGTGGTACAGGCCTGAAACACAGAGATCATATAGTGCAAAACTTACAAATATGATTTCTGTATCCAGGATGTTTCCTATTTCATTATGTGTTGTGATAGCTAGAAATGAAAGCATTAAAACCTCAGTTCTGCAGCACTTTTTCAGGCATAAGCTGTGGCAGGTGGTACATGCCTGAGCAGAGGGACAGAACCACAAAGACAGCCCTCCACATCTTAAATTCTTTTTTTCCTAGGTATGATCCCAGCCAGCTTATGTTCACAGCAGGCCTGCGGGGTATACACAGTTTCCCTTATGATTAAGCAACAGTGTAACACTGATTCCAACTAGTAACTGAAATAATACAGTATTACATACTGGCAGGAGTCCTGTGTCTCATACACACAATTGTATTTTACTTTTAATATTTTTCCTTTAATGTTAAGTCAGATGAATTTGAAAGCTAGGGACACAATTCATCTCACCACCTTTAGCTCTCTGAGAAGGAGGTGCCTGATCTAAGCTATTCATCCAATCTTCCTGCAAGTCAGTGGAGAGAGAAGGGAATTTTTACTCCTTCTACTGCCCTCTGAGTGTGGGTGTGTCTGCTGAGGGCTAGCGTAGGTGGGATGTGTGGCACTCAGATGGCTAGTTCTAGCTGGGACAAATTGTACAGTCTATTTACTCAAATGGGAAGACTAAATATTACTAGCTCTGCGTATTCGAGAGTTGTTTCCTAAAAAATAAGGTTGTGCGCAAATATAAGGATTTAGTGCTCGGGGCCTGTGTTTGGAAAGTATACAGAAAGGTCTCTCTTTTATGCACTAGACGGTAAATCTAGTCATGAAATATTATGTTTGCATAAGAGAATTGGAAGTATTCCCTTGATTGCAAGATTTAATTTAGTAGGAGAAGATCCTAGATCCTAGATATAAAATAATATAACCCTAATGTATAGTCCTAAAAACAATTTCAAAAGAACCCTGCCTTTCTCAGGGCTGGAAAAATCTATTGCAGGAAAACAAGTTTTTTAACATGAAATTGTTATTAACTTCTTAAAGTGTAAGCAGCAATTCTAACAT